CACATTACGCCTTCTAAAAAATAAAATAAAATAAAATAAAATAAAATAAAATAAAATAAAATAAAATAAAATAAAATAGTCAAAGCCTGGCATATCTCCAGAGAGGAAAGCATCAGATCTCAGCTGGTAAATAAGATGTTACTGTGAAGCTTGTAAAGCCAACGTTATTTCTTCTTTGTAAAGGCTCTACCTGCATAACATGAAGGAGGCTCAGTGACAGACACATTAAAACACCATTAAACTGTGAAATAGAACACAGTGTGAAAATAGATTTAACCTTCACAGCATATTGATCTCTACCCCGCGCCGTGCCTAAGTTCTTGGACAACTGTTTTATAATAGGTTTTACTTATTTTCCTGTTGCTATTCTGACTTCCTCAGAGGAGGGTGTTATTTCTAAAAGCTCCTGACAGCTAAGGGAAAAGTGGGCTTGTTTCTTAGTCATCGCTCAGTGCTTGAGCATTGCTGCTGCCAGCTGCTCCATAAACAGAAATCAGTTTTGTGAGAGTGAAGGATGGGTCTGGGCAGCAGTGATTGCGGTGGGATGGGAGGAGTAGGAAGGGGAAGCGGAAAGGGAAGAGGAGATGGGCTGTTTGCAAGGACTCTGCTGAACAAAACTATGCAGGATGCAGGCAGCCAGGCTGAACTTGAAATGCCTTTCAAAAGGGACAGCGCCAAGATTTATTTAAGTGTGCAGAGGTACGGCCCATGTTTGTGAAGACACATAAAATAATTGTGCACACATCTGCATATTCAGACGGGAAATCCTTCTGTTGAATTGACTGGGATGTATCAGGCTGCTTCCAGCCCAGTTCTGCTACTTTCACCATGAGAGGGTGACTCCTCACAGTGATGAGCTAAACAATAGCACCTTTGACCCCCCCCCCCTTTGGCCCCCTCTCCACTCTGACCATTCATCCATCCTCTCAGTCTTATTCTAAGAGTTCAAACCATTCCCAATGGCCCTTTTTTCAATTATTATTTTTTAAACAACAGTTTAATAAAAATGTTCCACCTATCTCCACATTGGGATTTCCTTTCCTACCACCCCCAAAAAAACCCAATCAGAACATGGGACTGGTAAGGTCCAGCCACGTCCAGCAGCCAGGTTTTGTAACACCCCTGCATGATCTAGATATATTTTAGAAGGGGGGCTTCTTTTTACAGAAATATTTATGGTGCCTTCCCCATCACAGATGTCTGGCAAATCCCAGCCTGACTGGGTACCTCTAGACCCATGTGAAGGGCCTGCTGAGCCTATTCATTAGATATTACTTACAAATTGCATAGGAAAAAAACTTCCTGACAGGCTATGGGGGATAGCTGGAGCTTTCCCTGAGGAGTACGTAGGATCTGTGTACCCAGACCTTTCCAGTAAACTAGCAGAGTACAGGCCATGCTTGTACTCATAGTTCACAAACAAATTGCCAGTTGTCTATGAGTCAACCATGCAACTGGAAACTGCGTAGGCCACAGGTGTGATGACCTCACAGTGCTCTCTAGGTCTAATTTCAGAGCAACGGGAGCATTGCGTTGACTTCAGCAAGACTGGGACAGTGCCTGCTGAATTTAAGGCAACTGCCCACTGATAAAGTCCATGAATATTAGCAACAATGCACTTCTACTTTAGTTAGGTGGTAGGGTTTTCCACCACGCTGCACATTTTGTATCACTCTCAGGGCACGGTCTCCTTTTGGCAGGAGTTGAAGAAAAAGGGTGTGTGCATGGTTGCATACACAAACCATGCCAAGTATGCCTTTGTAGCCCCAGACTAGCGGGAGTGGCAGGGGGATTTGCTGATTTTGTATTTCCCCACCACCACCACCTACAATGATGTTACACTCTGCCAACTCTTTTGAATAATCCAGTTCGTTATGACCCATTTGCAACCTTTACTTGCTCTTACGTCCCACGCCAGGCTGTGGCTAATCCTGGCCGCCCCGTCATACGCACAGTTCAGCAGGGACGAGCAGTGGAGGATCCTGATGTTGGATCAATATCCAATGGAGGCTGATAAAACCACTTTGGCAGCAAATCGAAAGTAAGAGAAATTTAAAGACAGGGCTAAAGAAAGTGGACAACTGGGAACAGGAAAGTATAAACTAAAATAAACCAGAGTGTTCTGGTGTTACTCCCTTGGATGATGTCTCACACAGACAGTTAAGCAACTGTCTAGATGCAACACCCAACTAGATTTTGAAATGTTTGTTTGGTTGACAAGACATGTGCAAGAAGCAGGTTTTTAAAGCTATAAAGAGTAGACGGCACAAAATATCAAAAGGAGACCAATCTTCAAAGGTAAAACTGGATTCAGATTTCTTTCTATTTCTCAGACACTAAGGATAATAGCATACTGGAAATCCATAGACTCAGTTCTGATCTTTTACCACAATTTTCACTGGGTGCCAACTACCTCTTGACTCAAGGAAAAGGTATTAGAATTCATTTCTCTTCCAGAATAAGTTCCCAAATATCTCAGCAATGCTAGTTATCTGCCTTCCCCAGACACATTTGTATAAAAAACATAGCAGCTTTAAAAGAAAAGACTTTAAAAGAGGCAGTTCTGGAAAAGCACAGTCCAGAACTGCCTGGAAACGGGAGACCTCAGAGCTAATCCTTCTTCCACCACAGACTTGCTCTATGACCTTGGGCAAACGCTTCCTCAGTAAATGCCTCAAATCTGTCCACTTGCCCTCTGGCTTGTCGGATCAGAATGGCAAATCTTCAGGACAGGTCCTGAAGGTTATGCACTTTATTTGGATCTCTAAGTCCCACCACTTCATGAACCTATTTAACAGTAAGCTCAAGTGCAAAGCCCAAGATGCAAGTATCTC